GTGAGAGGGTGTACTGGCCTCACCACCTTCCTAAATGCATCGCTGCAATAACGAGCAAATAGGCTGAGAAACACTCTCAGCAAGCAAGCTGAGAAGCACTCTCAGCAAGCAAAATGGCCCATGAGCAGCCCAAAAATTGCCTTCCATCATTGACTCCTTATGAAGAACAAAGAGTCGATGGGAAGAACTTTGCAGGAAAAAACTTCGCTGCGGGCCAGAGAACATTTCCTATACCTCCCATACCAAAGGTGACATCAAAGTAAATATAAGGCGGACGGACTAAACAGTCCATTTTCGGATCAGATAGATCGTCAGAATGCCAAGAAATGGTAGCAAATTGGTTTCGAATAAGAAAATGGGGAGATGAAGATAGAGGATGAAAAATGCTAAACATTTATAAGGGGCTGAAGATGAAGAGACAGAATATGAACAGCCACATTTCTGTCTAATAGACGGAATTAAATGGCCCTAAGTCTCGGGAACAGTAATGGGAATATCAAAAGGGAACGGACAAAATTCTTAATGCAAAGCAGTTAAATGCTTGAAGAATTGATGATTAGAAAATAAACATCAAATAAATGCACAAGAAATTAATGTTCATTAATAAGGGACAAAAGTACAAAAAAGAAAAGACATCGTGTGTCTTAATTACAAACTACCCCATAAGGAACGAATTCATTCCCTAAGTTTTTCCCAATCCTCGTTCTGTCGGGAGGAAGTGATGTTCAATTCAGCCGCAACGTCATGATCATCAACCTCCAGCTTCTTATACTGTTCGACCAAGGATTTGGTTCGCTCAATTCCCTGAGAGGCGTTGCGCTTTTTAGCGGCCATCCTCGCTCTGCAATCGTCCATTTTGGCTTGAAGTTCCCTCATCTGAGCAGCCAAGTTAACCATCAAGGAGTCTTCAATCATGACTTCGGAAGAGATTTCTTTCAACTCGTCCTTAGCCTTGTTGATCTCCAAGCGCAGAGACTCTTTCTCAGCTACGGCTTGAAGATATTGAGTACGCTTGGCCTTTAGTTCAGCATTCTTGGCCAGCATAGTAAGGACCTCGGAGTGAATGACCTTCAACGTCGCTTTAAAGTCGGCAGAAAGATTGAGCGACGGAAGCGTCAGTGCTTGCTCTAATTTCGCACTCAAGCGTTCAAGTTCATCCTTGTGTCTGGCAACACTAGCCCTTCCAATGTCCATGTCCATGAAGGACACGTACTCAAATACCAACCCCTTCAAGAACTTCAAGTCCTCTTCTGAAGAAGCAGCAGGACAATCATATGGAGTAGGGCGAGGCATTTGGACCTGCCCCCAGGAAGCGAACAAATCCTGGATAGAACGAACAATCCTGTCAGCATCCTGCAAAGAAGATTGCCAACATTAAAAATATTCGTTACAACGAACAAGTTGGAAATAGGAATGGGACAAAGAGAAAAACTACCTCGTCGACAATCGTAGAAGATGGCGCACCCTCAGCCAAGCTGGCCACCAACGACTCACCCATTCGTGAGGACTTCCCCTTGTCCGAGCGAGAAGACGTTGCCACAACGGGCGGACTCATGGGAGTATCT